TTAATCATCATGAACATCAACGGGTAGGGTTTGTCCTCTTTTGAATCGCCATCAACGGGTTGTCTTCTTCCTAACGGTGTTTCAAACTTCTCTCCTCTCATCCACACCGAAACACCCAAAATTCCAAAAGGGTTTTACCAAAAACTCGAAATTCCGAAACTTTCAAACCCCCAAATCACAAATTTCAGATTTTTCAAGTTCAGAGCAGCCGTTGGGCACGAACCCAATTCAAATAATGAAGACCCAATTAAGAAGCTCCTTAAACGTGACTACAAGTGGGGTTTCAAGGCACAAATCGACTCGTTTTCGATCCCGAAAGGGCTTTCGAAGAAACTATTTGATTGATTTCATCGCGAAAGAATGAACATCAAACTATTCGATTGATGTTGTTTTGATGATGATGTTCTGATGTAAAAAAAGGACTAAATGGTTTATAAAAAAACACTCAGGACTAGATGGAGTAACATTTTCCAATATGGGACCTATGAGTAATTTTTCTTTTTTTTTTCTTTTTCATCAAAGTTTGGGACTAAATTAACAAAATTAAAAATTTTAATAACCAAAATGACACGAAACAAAGAGACCATATGTATATTTTATGGAAAATAATATATAAGTCCACTTTTAAAATCCATTTCCAAGATCTAATAATGTGTTAGTGAGATAATTAGTTAATGATTAGATAAGATAGGACAAATAGGGTTACCTTACCTATTTTAACATATTTTAGCTTCATTTGACATTAGCTACGGTAGCCAACTTTTTGGTTTTTGTTTTTGGGCTTTTTTGACTTTTGTGAAAGAAAAAATATATGGGCAAATTACAAACACCCCCTCGAGGTTTGGTAAAAATACAGATTCCTCCCTGAGGTTTGAAAAATTACAAATTGCCCCATGAGGGCCAAATTTTCATAACAAATTAGGAAAAATTAAGGGGGAATCTGTATAAAAATAAAAACCTCAGGGGCCAATTTGTTATGAAAATAAAAACCTTAGGGGGCGGGATGTAATTTCTCAAACCTCAGGGGGAATCTGTATTTTCACCAAACCTCGAGGGGGTGTTTGTAATTTGCCCATATATTTTTTCTTTCACAAAAGTCAAAAAAGCCCAAAAACAAAAACCAAAAAGTTGGCTACCGTAGCTAATGTCAAATGAAGCTAAAATATGTTAAAATAGGTAAGGTAACCCTATTTGTCCTATCTTATCTAATCATTAACTAATTATCTCACTAACACATTATTAGATCTTGGAAATGGATTTTAAAAGTGGACTTATATATTATTTTCCATAAAATATACATATGGTCTCTTTGTTTCGTGTCATTTTGGTTATTAAAATTTTTAATTTTGTTAATTTAGTCCCAAACTTTGATGAAAAAGAAAAAAAAAAGAAAAATTACTCATAGGTCCCATATTGGAAAATGTTACTCCATCTAGTCCTGAGTGTTTTTTTATAAACCATTTAGTCCTTTTTTTACATCAGAACATCATCATCAAAACAACATCAATCGAATAGTTTGATGTTCATTCTTTCGCGATGAAATCAATCAAATAGTTTCTTCGAAAGCCCTTTCGGGATCGAAAACGAGTCGATTTGTGCCTTGAAACCCCACTTGTAGTCACGTTTAAGGAGCTTCTTAATTGGGTCTTCATTATTTGAATTGGGTTCGTGCCCAACGGCTGCTCTGAACTTGAAAAATCTGAAATTTGTGATTTGGGGGTTTGAAAGTTTCGGAATTTCGAGTTTTTGGTAAAACCCTTTTGGAATTTTGGGTGTTTCGGTGTGGATGAGAGGAGAGAAGTTTGAAACACCGTTAGGAAGAAGACAACCCGTTGATGGCGATTCAAAAGAGGACAAACCCTACCCGTTGATGTTCATGATGATTAATGTTTGATGTTGCACAATATTGATGATTAATGTTTAAGATGTTCATGGCGATGATGGTTGATGTTTAAAATACACCCAACCCTTACTCTCACACAAGCTTGAGAGACAAATGGCTTATCATCTTTGCTCTTCCCCATCTTCTCGGCCTCCTTACGACCACCCTCTCTTCTGCAACTCTCTTGTTTGATTTCTCTCTCCATTCAAGAACCTCTCTCCAAATCGATCGAGTCTCTGTTCAAGACCAACATCACCAACATTGAACATCATCGACATCAACTACAACTTCAACCTCATCAAACATCAGATCTCATACACTTCAATTCTTAGATATTATAGTTGATGTTGCTCCATTTTTTGGGAATCATTCTGTGATTCGTTTTATGCCTCATTTCCGAACCGAGAATTGGTGACCAATGTTGTAGTTCATCATCTGAGAATTGCGATTTATTTAAGATATGAGATTTGAGAATTGGTGACCTCTCTGCCTTCATGCTTCGTTCTAACATTGAACATCATCCACATCAACTATATCTTCAATCTCATCAAACATCAGAACTCATACACTTCAATTCTTAGATCTCATAGTTGATGTTACTCCAAGCGGGGATGTTACAGAAAGGGGGAAAAGAAAAAGAAGATGAAAGAATCAAGAGCCAAAAAAAATTTCTGAACACTAATTTTCTGGGAAAAGTGGAAGATTTTCTCGCTCAGCCTCACAATTTGATCTTATCTCTGCAAATGGGTTTTGGCAACCCTAGTATTATATAGCAGTGTTGGCCCATTGTTTAGTCTCTGTACCACATTGGTAATCACGACACTTTCTTGGCATCTAATCCTTGCTTAATTTTATTAAAATGGGTTTTGGCAACCCTAGTATTATATATTAGCAGTGTTGGCCCATTGTTTAGTCTCTGATGTTAATGTCCACTTCTTCAAATCTCTATTTACATATATATATATATATAGGTGTATATATGATATGATTTAATCTAAGAGATCCATAATTAGACGAGTTCTCCTTGGAATTGTGTTCTTAATTTCCTTTCTTGATCAATCTTCTGGTTTTTGGAATTCTTTCTCATACGTGTGTTTGGATGCATGAACTAGCTTCATCATCATCGAACAAGTTTTCAATTTTCTTTTTTTCTTTTTTCTTTTTTTTTTTGAGGTGATTATTATTAAGTGGTTGTTTGGCATTAGCACATTATCCTATTTAGATCGCAGTCATTTTATTTAAATTATATCACCTCTCTATTATATCACTTCAAACTCAATTCATATTTTATAATTTTTCGTAAAAATTCAAAAAGTATATTAGAATTTCCCAAACAACCTCTAAATAAATTATTTCAAATATTCCAAAAAAACAGAGTGGATACAAGGAAAAATAAATAGAGTAAGGCTCAGACTTAATTTTTTTGTCCTTTTCCTAAATAAAGCGTTTGTTATTATAATCTTAATTATTTACATACATGATACATGGCGTATTTGTAATTTTTAATTATTTTCGATGGTCGCTTTGGCACACCAGCTTATAATCTTTCACTTACTTGTGAATTACTTTACTTCTAATTATAATAATTGCTTAACAGGAATGATTTTTGCAACGATTGTTTTATACCATTTATTTTCAAACAAGGTTTAAAAAAACCCTTTCAAAAAGCTATTAAATTTAAGGCCTCTTCTGGTAACATTTGGAAAAAGTCAATTTATTGGCTTATTGCCTTATTTTAATAAGAAAAAAGCTAACTTAATAACTGACTGCTAATAACAATCTTAAGAGTAGTTAATAAGATGTACAAAATGTCTAAATATTTATAATGTCAATAAACTCTTTTACTTATTTAAAAATATTTTTATACATTTCAATACACGTTCTATATATTTTTTTAACAATAGCCCTCGTAATGATTGTTATTGTTTTTATCCTCTTTTCTTTCAGTTTTTGTTGGATGATAATTGACTATTTTGACCAATAAATCTAGTTGAGGTCTCTTTGATTCATTTGTAGTTGTCCTTGAATTGAACAAAATGCCAATTTAATTCAATAAATCACATAGTTTCCTTTTGTTTTATACAACTATTGCTCTATTTGGTTCATTAAAATGATCATTTTAGCATATTATTATCACATTAGTTCATTAAAAAATATAAAATGTATTATCAATGAAATTATCATTCACCATCTCAAAAGAATAGTCCTTCAGTAGAAGATTAAGGAATAATCATTTCATTTCATTCTATTTTATTCAAGTGAAACAAATCCTAACTTGTAATAGTCTTTTTTATTTGAGCTAATTGCTTTAATTACTCACCAAACAGTTCATACATATAGCTCAAACCTCAACTAAGTGATGAGCTGTAGCAGTTCGAACTCTTACACTTTACACTTTATCAAAGATGTGAGAAGAGTAAGTGTGTCTCATTACTTGTTAAACTCCGTCTAATAATGTTAATGAACACATAAATAAACATATTAACTAGATACAGTATTAAATGTCATATCTCAATTGCGAATCACATATAAATTTTGTCTTAGAAAGTATATTTATTAGTATTCCTATTATAATATAATTAAACTTCATAAGAGTAAATAGAGCTTAACCCGTCAGTTATGGGCATGAGGTTAAATGACTGAAATGGGTCTGAGATTACTCAGAATGTGTGGCAATCAGGCTTCCTCTACCGTACACTTTTTTGAGTTTGAATTAGTGAGAGCAAAGCACACTTTGATAGCAATGTACAACAAACTGTCAAATACAAAGTCACGACAAGTGGTGGTACACTGCTGCTACCTTGATGGTTCTTTCCTTTCCTCATATGAAGACACAGCCTTAAGCAATCAACATTTACGAATATGATTTTTTTTCATAAGCATTTGCTCAACCTCTTTGTAATCTTTTCTGGGTCATGGTAATGATTGTTACAGCCTTACAGTGTTTTCGTTAAAATAAAGATTTTTTCAAAATAATTATAATTTTAATACACATTTTATATATTTCGAAACATTTTTGTATATTTAACATTTTTTAATATATTTTTTATAGGTACATTAACACTAATATTCGCCCACTAAACAGTGAATAGCATTTTATTTTTTAAATTTAGTCCTGTTGACTAAATCTCTATGGTTTCTGTCTAGTTCTTCATTTTCAGGATTTTTCATCTCTCATATTAGTTGTATTATACAAGATTCAGAGTACACAGAGTTAAGAGGACGAGGAAACCCAACTTCATTTGCAGTAAAATTTGGGTAGAAGTTGTCACAAAACCAAGAGTAAAAGATGGGTTTCTTGTCGCTCTTGGAGGTGGCTTCAATGCCAATACTACAAGTGCTCATAATCAGCATATTAGGAGCTTTCATGGCAACAGATTATCTCAATCTTCTTCCCACAGCCTCACGCAAGTCCCTCAACAAGGTAAGACACCCCACCTCAATGTGTGCCATCATCAGCTCTCTTCACCATTTCATGAACATTCATATGGTATTGACTAAGAAATTTTAATGTGATTACAGATTGTGTTCATGGTGTTCACTCCATCCCTCATGTTTGCAAGTCTGGCTGAGACTGTCACCTTCCAAGATCTCATTGCATGGTAGGATATGTACTCGAGCAACTTTCTTGCCATTTCTTTGTGTACCTTTTTGATCTGCATATTTTATTTCACCACCCAAACAAAGTCTAAAACAATAAAGATTGTGGAAGATCAAACTTATAATTATAAAAGCAAAATTAGGTGGTTCTGTAATGGTTTTAGCCAATGGGACAAGGGGAGAAAAAAGAAGGGTCAACAAAACACAAATGAAACATGGTTTTGTAAATAATTATTTTTCTAAAACAATTAGTGACCCAGTGCGCAAGGCTCCCACTCAAACGGGATTTGAGGGCAAGATGTGCGCAACCTTACTCTAATTTGTAAATGCTTATAAATTAGAAGTTAAAATATAAAAAGAAGAATTCCACAATGGTAGAATTACAAACTACTTCAACAATAAAAAAATAAAAAATAGTAGTAAGCTCCATTTCCAAGTAGTTTGCATAACAAAATTTGAAGCAGAATATTTTTTTTTTCCTTTTTGGGGCAAATTCCAAACGCAAGAGGAACCTTTTTGATCACCAATTCTTATGTAACAACAAAATTCTAGCTAAGTTCAGTGGCAATGGTAAATGATAAGAAAGAGTTACAAACTTTAAGTCATTTTTTAACAAATTTGAAGGCTTTGAGTTTCGGAGGCATCCTCTAGGCATTTTTAATGAGTTCCACTTTCATGAAGTTTTAGCTAAAAGCCACTATAAGTTATCACATCACTCTCTCTACTTTTCTACACGTCTTTCGTAAAAAGCCAAAAAGTCAATTAAAATAGCCAATTCCCAAATGGAGTGTAGTTCTGGAAACAAATGCTAAATGCTGCCTGAAAACTTGTAAGGAAACCTATGAAATTTGAGCAATGTCTGGTGTTTCTAAACTTCTTTTTATCCTGTCTTCAGGTGGTTTATGCCTATTAATGTAGGCCTAACCTTCCTATTTGGAGGAATACTAGGATGGATAGCAGTGAAAATATTGAAACCGAAGCCACATCTAGAAGGCCTGATCATTGCTACATGTTCATCAGGTATTTGCAGACACACAGCTTTCAGCTCTTTCACTGCATTTAGGGACGCCACTTTGAACCCTAATTGTTTTTGTCATTGTGATGTGTTTTTTGAATAGGAAACTTGGGAAACCTAATGTTGATAGTTGTCCCTGCAATCTGTTCTGAAGAAGGCAGCCCTTTTGGTAATCACAAAGCATGTAGTTCCGTTGCACTGTCTTATGCATCTTTCTCCATGGCGGTAAGGCAGTTTTGCATGCTTTATACTCACAATTCTATGCTGATCTTCCAAATACAAAATCATGCTTCTAAGACTGATAATTAAGCTATGATGAAATGGAAAACCATGATTGAACAGAAGATTAGAAAATTTGAGAACTATAATCCTGAGCATTGCTATATATTTCTGCTGCATTTGTCTTTTTTGAAATGATTAGAGATCCAAAACGGTAGAACCTGCTTGAATTAGACCATATCCTAAGCATTGCTATATATGTCTGCTGCATTCGTCTATTTTGAAATGATTAGGGATCCAAATCGGTAGAACCTGCTTGAATTAGATCGTATCCTAAGCATTGCTACATATGTCTGATGCATTTGTCTATTCTGAAATGATTAGGGATCCAAATCAGTAGAACCTGTTTGAATTAGATCATGCAGTCTCAAATTATTCAAATCTGTTATTCTTGTTTGTGATATGTTTCTTTCTGTTTATGTTCTTCTCACCTTTTTCCATATCTTTTCCAGCTTGGAGGTTTCTTCATTTGGACTTACACTTACCAACTAATACGAAGCTCATCAATGAAATACAAAGCTCTTCAAGCAGCTGAAGAGATCTCAAAGTTACCAAACAACGATTTAGAATCCGATGAGAAGACTCATCTTCTTGAAGGAGAAGTTCAAGAACATGTCGCTATACTCGTGCCATCAACAAGACCCACTGAAGAGTACACAGAAGAAAACCAAGCTGTAAGTCCCATTTGTTTCAGTTTCCTAGTACCTAAACTCATTAAGAATGAGAAAAAAAAGAGATTCACAAAGCCCTGTCTGTGATCTATTGGCGCATACAAAATTCAGTATTTCTAATTGGTTCTTGAAATTCTCAAATTTTCTTATTGTAGATGCCCCAAGTGTCTGCCAGCAAACTGGAGAAAGAGAACGTGTCGTTTTGGGGAAATATAATAGTAGTTCTCCACCAGTTGCTGGAGGAGTTATTGGCACCTCCAACCCTTTCTGCTGTGAGTTCTTCTCAAAATTTCAGCTTCATTTATGTGCTTAATATGAATGCTGAAATTTATCATTTCCATTACACCAAGAGATTAATCACATAGTTTCTCCATCTATAATCAGATTGTCGGATTCTTTTTCGGGGCTATCCCATGGCTGAAGAACCTTATAATTGGTGAGAGTGCCCCTCTAAGAGTGATCCAAGACTCCATCAAATTACTTGGGTATGTATTTTTAGCACTGCAAATGATTGTTTACATGTTTTTCTCTAATTTCAATGTTGTCCTAAGTAATTGGAGGCTAATTTATTGTGCAGGGGTGGAACAATACCTTGCATCACCCTCATTCTAGGAGGCAACCTCACACAAGGTTAGAAATAGCTTTGAATGTCGTATTTACTACACAAAAATAATGAAATAGGGAAATTAGACATTTAACAAAGTATAATTGTCTGCCAAACTGAACAGGCTTACGCACGGCAAGATTGAAACCGATAATGATTATTGCAGTCATCTGTGTGCGATATGTGCTCCTTCCATTCATCGGGATTGGTGTAGTTAGAGCAGCCAGCAGTCTTGGTTTCCTTCCATCAGACCCATTGTACCACTATGTGCTCATGATTCAATTTGCACTACCACCTGCCATGAATATTGGTAAGCCATTATCACCCGTTTGGTACTTTGTTTGGGATATGGGTTGATTCTTTTTGTCTATTTTGGTCTGTGCTACAAAGTCTCGTTCGGGATGAGCTTTTTGACTTTTTTTTTTTTTTTTTGTAAGAAAAAAATTAAAATAATTATGATTTAAATGTGACATTTTGTCTTATTAGGCTAAAAAACTTATTTTGTCTTTTGTAACTAAAATAGCCCCAACGCAACGAAACAGTTTTTTTAGCTAAAGTTTTGAAAATGTTTGTTTGCGGGATGTTCTAATTTGGCAATGTTCGCTGTTTAGTAAAAATTTTCACATTTTCAACTTTTTTTTTTCTTTCTTTCTTAAATATGTAGGTACCATGACCCAACTGTTTGATGTGGCACAAGAGGAGTGTTCGGTGCTCTTCCTATGGACTTACCTTGTAGCTTGCCTTTCACTCACTGTATGGTCAACAATCTTCATGTGGACCTTGTCCTGATCAAACCCTATTGGTTCACAACTGAAGAAAGTACTTTGTGTACGTGTGTGTAAGAGAGAGAGAGAGAGAGAGAGAGAGAGAGAGCCCAAAGTCAAATTGAGTTAGGCATTCATATAGTGCATATACCATGCATTTCTGCCTTGGTGTTTTGACATGCGTCTATTTTCCATTTTTTGTTTTGATTTTTTTGACGTAAATGATTTGTATTGTTTCAATATAGGAAAATTGGCAGATCAAATTGGCAACTTGGTATGATAACAAAATCAAAAGAGTAATGTCAGAGATCGTGAAAAAAATATCATGAAGATGATTATGAAAGATTATTTACATTTAGATTACGCATACAATAAAATACCATAAACTAATCAAATGATAAAAAATATTTATGATACATTTCATGATATTTTTTTTCATGATTCCTAATATTATTCAAATCAAAAAAAGACTTGTGTATGCTTGTTTTGTTACTATATAATAGAGAAATACAAAAGAGAATTATTTGTGGTTCAGCAATCTCCTTTTTTGATTTTATTATCATACCAAGCTGCCAATGTGATCTACCATTTCGAATCAAATCAAAGATATCAGGAAAGATCTCTGCATGATACAAACCAGTTGGCCAAGTACATCTATATTTTATTGACAGCTATGCTATGTATGAACATATAAAAGTCATACGGTTCACCAAAAAATTTCGAAACAGTTCTGATAATCTTCCAAAATAAAGTCTTAAGTGGGGAGGAGGTAACTGGTTCACCAAATATAATAATAATCATTCGTTTGCTCTTGTTTTTGTTTTTCATTTTCATTTTTCAAAATTTAAAAAAAAAATAAAAAATAAAACTTGTTTGGCATTTCCAAAAACTGTCAGCTAAATTTTCTAACCACCTACTTTCTAAAAAGTACCAAAAAGCTATTTTCTAATTTATATATATATTCACACAAATCAAAGTAATATGAAAGCAATGATTGTTTTTGAACTTTTCATTGAATTTGTTTTCACAAACACAAAAAACAAAAATGAATAAAACGAAAAAAATACCTGTGCTCCTTATGCCAGGATTGGCTAAGCGAATCCCTGATCTTCTAACTGATGGCGACATTCACCCCGAGAAAGAGATAATTTAAAAATCAACTCGGAAACAAATAATAATAATAATAATATTTTTACATACTGTGGGCCATACCCAGTGGTTTAATTCACCTATCAATAACATCGCTATGCTCTGCACAAACAGCTCATAAGCCACTATTCTATATACAGTGTAAAAAAAGTAAAACAAGCGGATTTTTATCTGTTGGCGAAAATTAAGTAATCTTTTAAATACCAAAAAACAGAAAAAGTAACATCTTTTAGATAAGGGTAAGTTGGAGCCTAGGCCGGTTTGGTTGGGGCTCCACAACCTCCATATGAATCCTCACTGTCTGAAGAACAACATATGAAATGCTACCATCACTCTTCTTAACCTTCTGCTGCTGCTCATCTACCAACCATTCTCCGCCACCTCCTTTATCACCTCTTGCTGTCAAGTAGACAGGCCCCTCAACACCGTACCTGCACACAGATTATTTTGGAAAATTTATAAATAAATAAATAAAAATTAATATCAGATAGATGATCATCATAAGAAGCGTACATGCTAGCTGGACACCCACAAGGGAAATTTCTTTGGGCGTGTTTTGAACAACATTTCATGATACAAGACCGTTTTGAAAAAAAATTGCGTTACAAGAAAATAGGAGCAATGAAACTGAACAATTATACATTTCATAAGATTACATCATTATACAAATAATGTTTCTGATTATGGTAGGTATTTCCAGGATAATCTGATTGACAGATTGTGCACGCTACTATACAAAACTGGCGAATAAGCAAAACGCCTTTATATGTATGGGAAGTAAGAGCAAAGATGGGAGCTAAGACAATATGGCACAGTAGTTCATTTGGGAAGAGAGAATGGAACTGCAAGAGGCCAATAAGACATACTTGGGCACAAAAACAATGAAGCCATTTGATCTTACTTTCACAATTCTGGCCTCTGTGTCCGTGGGCCTGCAAGAGGATAGAAAATTATGAGAGAGAAAGAGACAGAGACAGACAGAGAGAGCGAGAGAAAGAGAAAGAGGGCATAAAAAGGTCTGTGCACGTTCCGTTTCCGGAAATAGATGAGAATATGAACCACTACTGAGGCCCGGCTCGCCATCTGAGCATTCCTACGCCGATAATTTAAATCTGAAGGGGACACATGAAAACAAATTTCTCTTATATTTCAAAATAACCATCAACCATTTGATAAAAAGATAGCATGCTTTAGCTTTAGCAATCCGCATATTGATAAATGTTAATCACAGTGGAAAACGCACCTTTTGCATATTTAAAGCACAATAGCATTTGTTTCTGTAAAAAAAATCATCGTCAGAGATGAGAATATCCATCTATGCAAGTCTGGAATAGACCTAATATCTGAAGTGAAAGAGGCTATCAGATGCCAAACTAGTGTTTTTTAAACCATAAGACATGCCCAAAGATAGCCCACTGACCACTACAGTGTTATTAAAGCTTTCTATCCAAAAGAGAATTCAATAATTCTGGCTCAGAGACCCCACTGCAGTGCTGCAATCAGCTACTGCACTTCTTGTTTCCAAAAAGCTACCTTTTAGCTTGAGAAAACTACTATAGATTTACTGTGAAATGTTCTGTCAAATTTGATAAAATGTTTCTAAAAACTTTTTTTAAACACTTTTTTAAAAGAAAATAAAAAAAACTGCTGAAGTTTGGCTCTAATTTTGTTGAAATTTATCCTACAACAAAAACTTTTAAAGAGCAACTTTAGACTCTAATTTTGTTAATTTGGTCCCAAATTAGAACTTATGAACTTATGCTCATCATCAGTGCCAGCAATTGCAGATTTCCATGCCAAACTTAGACAACTTGTAATTCACTTGTAATAACTATGGTTGGCACAAGGGTGATAAACAAACAAAGGATAAATACTACCAAAATAATTAGCTAAACAGGAATGTGGTATCAAGTTGAAAATATCTTCACTTACTTTTTCTTGTCGATGTTAGGAATATCACTTCTCTCAGCCTTCTCCACAATCACCTTTAGAGCAAGAGGTAAACATCAAAAAGAAGCATGTATTTATTTATTTACTGAGATGATGATTTACGTAAACCAATGAGAAGAATAATCCTATGAATCTCACATACTATGGATATAACAGGAACAAGAACCACCTACTCTACCCCTCCCAAACCCCCATCCAATGGGGACTAGATTGGGCATACTTTTCATCAACCCAATAACGAATCTATGAAACAGTAACCACATTATGAATGATTTATCAAAACCAAATGAGGTGAAACCAATTTCATTTTTTTCAGAAACCAAAGTTTCCATGAATTAACACATTTATAATTGCTAAATTACACAAGGTATTACAGTGCTTGACAAATGCATTAAAGCTCCAAAAGTAAGATTTTAGAAAGTGCAACTAAATTTCCAAAATGAAAAAATAAAATTGGGCATTCACTAGAAAGCATAGTACAAATCTGCAGCATACATATGCACTACAGTCTACAGCTAAATACAAGTATATTCAAAGGCCGCAACATGTACTAACCACATTACTGCATGGATACACCAACTAAATAACCAAGACCAGACAACGTTTTACGCTATATAGAGCCAAACTTTATCAATCAACTAAAGTGACTCTAGTCGAGTCAACCCAATTGTCTCAACCAAACTCCTCAATCATGAGCCAAAATTCCATACAAACATCCAATTAAACTAAGAATTACTTGAACATAACACAATGTGCGAGTTCTCAACATTGAGCTATTTAAATTCTAAAATGCTTCAAATTTCATATTACAGGGCACCAAAAGGAAACTTGTATTATGGGGGTGTTTAGTGGCGATTAATTTAAGCTAAAAGTTGATAATCAGAAAGCGGAAGCTACAAGCACCCCTCCCTCAGCTTCTGAAAAATCAAATTTTTTCAACTTAAGCTATTTCTGCCTAATAAACTGTAAGCAGAAGCTGCATCAAACAATCTGGCACAAACTCCCAAATTAAAATAAGCTATAAGTTGCTTGAATAATCTGCACCAGACACCCCCTATGTTTGATAATGCCGATCAGATCATGAAAAACCAAATATACTAAAAGTCTAAAATAATAGTATTATTTGTCATTGTAGCTGTGATGTAGTCATAGTGAATGTGATAAGATAAAGAAAATGAACAAAAAGAACAAGTTATTCACAGATCATTGGATGCAGAAGAAAACAAAATTTGAGACCCAAAATTTTAAATTACATATTTTATTCTTACAGGAATTCTGTCTGAGTATTTCTCCCTGATTCTTGCAGCCTCAGCACGCCTTTTCTCTGAAAATTGGAACAAAATATTAAGCACCCAACATCAACATTGCCATACAGACAAATGATATAAGACACAAAGTGGAGTACAGTAAAAAAGACCAGTACATACCAAAATCATGCTCTTGCTTGAAATAGATCTTAGTCATCCTTGCTTCAAATGCTGCACAATGCAGAGGAAAAATTCAATAGCTTAAAACTACATATTTCCATCTAGCAAATAGTCCTCTTCTTAAAAACAACACCCAAATAGTGCACATTAATGTGTGGTTTAGTCCTCTTCTTGCACTCTTAAAATCAAACTACTTAAGAAAATAGTTTGGGGCGCATTATTTTATAGAAACCAATTTCATGAGATGCAACTGTAAAAAAGAAAACTCTATTTGCGGAAGATATAAACCATTTCTAACAGGTCCCAACTAAATTCAACTCATCAAACCCTTGTCCTTGATCAACTAGAGGAATCCTATTTTGTAAGTTTGCTCAATTAAAGGGCAATAATTCTAGTCAAACAACGAGTTAACACATCTTTCTCTATTATCTTATCTCAACCCAAATCAATTTTGGTCTCTCACATCTCATAGCATCACCTCAAAGAATAGTGTCACTCTTCCTTTGAACTGATGCAATTATCAGTCTTTTAACAAATAACAACTAAAATTTAGGGGAGGAATTCAACTTAGAATTCGAAAGAAACAATCAAATAGTACAAAAAGAAAATAAATAAATAACACTTTATACACTATAAGAAATTGAATACAGTTGACTAAATTCATAACAACATGAATCCCAAAAAACCCAGAAAGGGAGAGAATCAAAATAAGCGATTTAAGGAGGAATACCAAATTTAGGATCGAACATATTGGCATGAAAGAGAAATTCAAAACCCTAAGATTAATATATATGCTCATATAGTATATATATATATATATATATATATGAGGAAAGACTGAAGATTTTAAGCGATCAATCAATTGAGATTAACAAAATAAAGGGAAAGATTATAAGAACAAGAAAGAAAAACAACAAAATTAGTAGAAGATATATACCGTGTCTCTTGCAGATAAGCAGGCTAGAGCTGTCTTTGGTCTCTTTCTCTTGGGGGGTAAAAGACAGTTGAACACAGGGTAGGGTATTTGGTTGAATTGACAAAGCCCCAAGAGTATTTAATGGGTGAGCTACTACGGTCCACCACACGTAACTGTGTGCTGCATTCCTTTGTGGAACAGGTGGGTGTGAAATTTGTAATTCGATCGAGTCTAGTTCAAATTAGTAGGTTTGGATTGATTTTTTTGAATCCGTAGTTCGGTTTTGAATTGAAAAATTAAAAATCTGTAATTCATAGATTGGTTCTGGATTGAATCTCACAATTTCAGATTGGAACTGATCCGGACCATATATAAATAGTCAATACTTTTATTATATGCCCTCCTGCATAGTATCTTCTCTTATTTCATATAAAACTTAAATCTAAACCTAAACTTGTATAGTATTTTCTTTTATTACTTTTGTTTGTTAGTTTTTAGTTTTAATTTGTAATGGTCTAAATACTTATGGTGGAACTAGTTTCTTTATGGTTATTTAAATTCTAGAACAGTTTGTCATTATTATGAAAAGACATGTTGTTATTGTGAAACTAATATGGTGGTATATTTATATTTTCATGAAAATAAAGTGTTATATATATATTTTTGTTATTTAATTATATAAATTCGTGATCCTAAACTGATTCAATCCGTATTTAAATGGATTGATTCGGATTGGTTCTACGATTTAAACAGATTGGATTGGTTCCAATTTTGCAAGATTCGTAGATAACGGATTGGTCCTAGTTTTACTCCAATCCAGACCATGCTCACCCCTAGAACAGGACGCTTTTCGGCACTGGTGGGTCCTCATCTAAGTCGATATTGATAATTCAAATCGTTGAATGTGAACAACTCACCCAGTATATTATTTTTGTAAAAAATTATATTGATCAGATATCAATAACAATTTGATTTGATCATATTTTTCAAAATAATTTTCAAATATGATTTTCAAAATAAAGTAGGACAGGTATGGTATGATCAAGTGATTATCGATATTCAACCAATGTAATTTTTTTATAAAAATAATATATTTAACGAGTTCTACATATTCAATGATTTAAATTATTGACATAAGTTCGAATCGAGGCCCACCAATGCCCAAAAACACCCCCCACGTCATTGGAGAGGAGTCCCTTCTTTTGTTAGGTTGTTTGTTCAACTTCTGCTGACATTATAACCGTTGGAATATAATTTTTAATTTTTTTATGGATAAATTATATTTATTTTTGTAAAAAATATATAGCTCTCATTTGGGAACTTGATTATTTTGAGACGAAAAAAATTATAGTTTGGATGATTTGTGAATTCTTTTGTAATTGAATAAATGGTTGTGAGAGAAAAAAATAATTGATTGATATATAAAATGTGATATTTTGTTTTATCGACTATTTTAACCTTTTTTTTGTGTGCATTTATTGATTATTTTAGCGAAAATTCTTGTTCCCAAGTCTTATAATTTCAATATAATTATATTAAATTATTTTAAAATTTTAATTCAAATAACACTTATTTTCTTTTTTATTAGGAAATAGTGTTAGGCAAATTTTATTATAGACACCCCTTTTGGGATATGTATTATATACTCCAGTTATGACGTTTGTGTTATTTGATTATGATTTATTGTGATATTAGTTATGAATCATTATCATGTTGGTTATGACTTAATTATTATTTTGGTTATAAGCTAAAAGATTTTTGATTATACATTATTTAATTTTTGGTCATAATTCATTATTATTTTTAATTTTGAATTAGTGTCATAATTTACATATGATACATATCCTTTTGAGAGTGCATAATCTAGAATGACCTATGGCATTAAAATTTATTTTACACTTAAATATATATATATATATATATATTTCACATTATTTATTTTTGTGTCCTTACACCATTTGCATTAGGTTGAATCCTTAAAATAACCTTGTTAAAAGGGATATTGGTGTAATTAAATCAAAATTGTAGTGTTTGCTATTATTTTTTCAAATTTCAAAAAAAGTTAATATATGTGTATATATTGGAAACAATATTTTATAGTGTATTAATGAGTTGATTTAGACATTGAGATTTGACCTAATGGTATAGTAGTCACACCTTAAGGTGAGATAAGAAGGAGATTAGAGATTCAAACCGATGAAGCAATATCAAATCTCTTCAATTATAGTGGTGAATCCGTTCAATCGTAGTCAAACGATGCGCTTTCTTAGGGTATTTGGTTGAATTGACAAAGCCCCAAGAGTATTTAATGGGTGAGCTACTACGGTCCACCACACGTAACTGTGTGCTGCATTCCTTTGTGGAACAGGTGGGTGTGAAATTTGTAATTCGATCGAGTCTAGTTCAAATTAGTAGGTTTGGATTGATTTTTTTGAATCCGTAGTTCGGTTTTGAATTGAAAAATTAAAAATCTGTAATTCATAGATTGGTTCTGGATTGAATCTCACAATTTCAGATTGGAACTGATCCGGACCATATATAAATAGTCAATACTTTTATTATATGCCCTCCTGCATAGTATCTTCTCTTATTTCATATAAAACTTAAATCTAAACCTAAACTTGTATAGTATTTTCTTTTATTACTTTTGTTTGTTAGTTTTTAGTTTTAATTTGTAATGGTCTAAATACTTATGGTGGAACTAGTTTCTTTATGGT